GGGTTACTAACTACCTATGATTTGGGGATATATAATTTCCAATGTTTCGATGCTTAATAACACATCCATAAAACGTCTCTGGACTAGACAGTAACAAAATCAAAATAACCTCAAAAAGGCAAATCTAGATGAGAGATATTACGAACTTTACGGCCCAACAAAGTTGCCATGGGCTTGGGAATACATGAACAACCAAAAAAGCAAGTATAGTTAACGTTCAAAAATGTTTGAATATAGGAAAAAAGATTACTTTGATAAATAGTTATATTTCATCTGAAAAGCTGAGGCACCGACTCACAACAGCTCTGCTTTCAAGAATGTCCACACAAATATATAGAAAAATCAATTTATAAATCTAGAAAAAAAAACTGTACTACTTTTAGTGTGCAAATGTTGTGTGTTGTGTGTGGCACATCACACGTGTCGTAGCATGACGGCAAAGGTTTGTCTCGAGCACATGGCTCCGTTCGTTCGCTCAAAATTCTCAAATATCCTCTCTGATTATTTTTCTTGTTACCGTTAGGTCTTGTCCTCAATAAATTATGTAGCATCTCTTTTCTTTTTGATAAAATGTGTTCTTGAAAAAAATCCAGTCTAATTTTTTTGGGAGGAGTGGATGAATGAACATTGTACGTGTAGTTTGTAAATGAGTAAAAGTAAGAACCAAGTAAATCGAGGTGGTATTAAAAAATAAATAAAAGTATGGAGTCGGTTATAATTGTTAGTATAATTGTTGTACATTCTCACTAACCATCTTCTTGGGGCTTAACTTTTGACCGTTGCTAATAAAAACGAGTTTATTAATTTAAAAGGAAAGAAGACAGAAGAGAACTCATCTGAGAAACGTAAATCGAGGTGGCAGAATTGGTACGTAAATAAAGAAGAATTCTGGACCCCTTTTACTGTATAATCTTTCGGTGCGCCGAATAGTTTCATTACTACAAGACAAAAATGCTTTTAATCCTTTTTCCCTGCAAAACTACATTGGTTCGTGTTTACTTTTTCTTTTTTACCATCGATTTACTCTATTTACACATCTTTTTGCTACTTGCTTGCTTTTTTTTTTGTTATCACTAATTTTATTTTACTTTTAGTAAATAATCAAATTGTCCTATTTTTGAAATTAATAGATAACACAAAAAACTGTAAACTAGCATAAACAATAGTTTTTTTTTTCCCAAACTTAACACATCTAATATCAAATTTTAAAATAGCATAAATTATTGTTTGAAGATATATGTTTACTCTAAATAAATTACACAGAAAATTCAAACATTAGGTTTGGATTCTCTTTCTTCAGTTTATGATTTAGATCTTTTTCACTAAGAAAGACTTTTGAACTAGAAATAGGTAAATTAACGGAATCAAACCGAACCAAACCGAATTAACTAAACTCAACCCGGATCAAACTAAACCAAAATGTATATATAAACTATTGGTTGAGTTTATTCTCTCTACTTCCAATTATTATATACAAACCAATGGTTCTGTTCGGTTAAAAATCTTTTTATTTTTCTCTCTATTTCTAATTATTATATTTTTTTTTATATAGAGACCGAAATAGTAAATATAACTATATTAGAGTTTAATTTTTCTTTTAGTTTTCGCACGATTTTTCTCGTTTAAGTACTTAGTTTGAATTTACATATTTTATTTTAGAAAATTAGTTTCATATCATTGAAATATTTTTTTTTTAATTTA